GAGCAGCTGGGCTCGCGGCCGCACTAGCCCCCGCGGGCTGCGGTCTCGGACGTCTCTCAGCGGAGGCAGGTGAAAGGCTGGTCCCGCTGAAAGCGGTGGAAGCTTTTGCATTGGCTTCATGAACTCGGGCTACCACCCTCCACCTTTGGAGTTCATTGCTGATGCTAAAGTGAGCCAGAAAACCTCCCAGAGAGCGCTGTGTTCGGTGCCTCGTGGGCCACACCTGCCCGGGGCACTGACCGCCAGCCCTCACCTGGCCCATGACCCCAGCGGGCCGTGGCCTGGGCCTCCTCCACGTAGCTCCAGCCTTGAGGTCAGCCAGCAGCTCCGGCTGAAGCTCTGCCTTGTCAAGCCTCTGTGCATGTCCCTGCTCGCTCAGGTCCTGGACTCTGCTCTTTGCATTTCCCCTTGTCTCTGGGAATTTGGGGTCTGACTGCTGCATGTTGACTCCGCTTTTGACTTGGACCCTGGCTCTGGTAACGTGAGCTCTGATTCCTGCCCCCTCCCCTGGCCTGTGGTTTGGCTCTTGTCCTCCCCCGGCAGCCTGAAAATTAGGCCAGACTGCCTCCAGCCGGGTCCCTTCCGAGCGGGGAGCACGGTGGTGTCTGCTCTGGGGGAATTGGGGTGTGGCGCTAACCCCAGGTTGGGCTGGGGACGTCTCTTGTTTTGGGGCTGGTGGGTCAGTGGCGCACTGCTTGGTGTCCGGCAGGCTTCCCGAGGATGGTGGTGCTCCAGCTGACCGCTTTTGGCCTAGCTCTCCTGTCTGCCCTCTTCCTGGTCACAGCCACCTGGACTGATTGCTGGATGGTTAATACTGATGACAGCTTAGAGGTGAGCAGAGCAAGCAGTCTTCAAATATGTGATCAGGGCAGATGCTTGCAGCTTCCCAGGGTGGATGCTTCCTTTGTGGCGTGAGATTACTAGGCTTATTATGAGATGAATGGAAACAGAGACAGTACTTCCCATGTTCAGAACTTGCAGACTATTTCGCTATGTGATGACAATGGAGGCAAGAGCGTTAAAGCGCTGATTCCAGGCTTGCAGCTGCCAACAATCCCCAGACTAGCTGCAACAGCTAAGTGGCTCAGGCACTTCTCCAGGAGGCCAGAGACCCTCTCACCGCAAAGGAGTTTGTATCTGCACCCCTCTGGTTGCTTCACACGGGGCTCCGACCACCAGAAGACAGAGCTGTGCATTTGCCAGACTACTCCCTGTGTTCCTCCTGAAGCTGAGCCCTTGGCCTTGTGCTCCATAGCATTGCATGGGTGGAGGGCACTGTAGCAGGGAAGTTCCTGCCTCGCTGGGAGCCCAGGGCCTGCTCCCTTCCAGGCAGCAGAAACCCAATGTGCCACGCACCCTCTGGCTTGCTCCGGTACTCCTGGGCTCCTTTCTTGGCTGCCAGATTCAAAAGCTCACAAGAAATGGGTCTGGATGATGCCTGACCTGGCCCTGAGGGGTAATTGCGTGTGCTGAGAAGCTGCAGAGCTCCAGGATCGAGCTGTGTTGGGTTGGGGAGCCCGAGTCTTCTGTCTCAGGTGACGAGTGAGTCCTGCTCTCCGGGGCAGTGATATCCCAGGTGAAGACACATTTTCATGTATGTCTCTAATGTCTTTCTTCCTCTTTGAGGTCAGTCACAAATGCCGGGGGCTGTGGAGGGAATGTGTCACCAACATGCAGGATGGCATCAAGACCTGCGACCAGTATGATTCCATTTTAGCAGATCACCCACGTGAGTCCTGCCTCGTCCTGGGAAGGGAGGGCGCGTCGGCCCAACAGGGAGAGGGTCTTGTTAGAAAACCCTTATGGCGACACTGAACAGTTCATTGGCAGTGGGGGGTTCACATCCAGTTATACTATTTGCTTATCCCCATTGTGACAATCAACATTTAAAAACCCCTTTGAACATTTCTTTGAATGCATACGAAACAATTTCAGTGTGTCACTGAATCTTTTACAGGGGAGAAGTCTCTGC